TACTTCCATTGATAGGTTATCGACTACGAGAAATCGATTGAGAAGGATTTCATAGCACGAAACCTCATGGTTCCCTTTCAAACGTGAATTTTGAGGGTGTGCACATACTTTTGAAACGCACTGTACAGGGAGAGGAATGTTATGATGACAAGATTGAATTTTAAAAAAAGCGGTTATTCAGAACGCTCTTATGATTAGATCGTCGGTTTGCTACCGTCTTTTCTTATGATTCTGTAGTTTCATGTTTCACGGTTCTTTGATTAAAGGCAAGCTCTGGAATAAAACTGGTAGCAAAAGCGCTTCGTTGTAATGATTGAGCTGCGAAATGAACTGGAATTGGAAAGGAAAGCAAGGGAACTCATCGGAAACGCTAGAATTAAAGGCAAACTCCGGGATTAAACAGGTGCTATCAGCGCTTTGTAGTGATAGCTTAGCTGCGGAACGACCTGAAAGTGGAAAGGAAAGCAAGAGAAATCTTTGGGAACGCTGAAATTAAGGCCTTAACCTTCAATAGGGTCGGATGTGGTACGATGGCGAGAAAGGGCGGTCAAAGAAGACAAAATACGCGAGAGAGCACGTCGTTTGAGAGAGCACGCTGATCTCTACATCAATGCACGCTGATCTCACCACCTCTCGCGGTGGGTGGGAGCGTTGGAACGGAGTCGATGGTTGCAGGCCCGTAAGGATTAGCGCCCTAACCGCGCAATTTTTGCGACGAAGCTGGAGTGATCTAGGTAGGTACGGACCTTACAATTTCCCTCGTGGTATCCCTCCTACTAGTCGGGCTAATCCGGGGTTTGCCTTTAAGGCCTTACCCTCCGGCGAGATTAGATGTGGTACGACTGTAAGACGGGGCGATCAAAGAAGACAAAACACGCGAGAAAGCGCACTGATTTCTACACCCACTGCGGTGGAGTAAAGAGCGTTGCAACGGGGTCGATGGTTGCAGGCCCGTAAGGATTAGCGCCCTAACCGCGCAATTTGTGCGACGAAGCTGGAGTGATCTATGTAGGTACGGACCCCACAATTCCCTCGCGGTATCCTTCCTACTAGTCGGGCTAATCTCGGGGCATGCCTTTAACAATTGACGAACAGGTCTTTCACCTTCACACGCCGCTGATAGAACTCCTTCCAAGGTCCGCTGTGCTAAACGATGTATCGCAACACCGTCATCCGGCTCTCAATCGAACTATGTGCACACAGGTGTTCCGAAAGTAGTGTCACAGCATAC